ATTTTCCACTCCATAGCAAAGGTACTTTGCTTGGCTCTTTGTTTACAAGGGAAAAATGCATACCAGAAAAAAAACAGGAGGTTTAGGTTAACTTTCAGCTTGAAGCTGTTTTGCTTGCCATGAAGGAATAGTGCAGGTGTCTCAAGTCAAATGCTCCAGGGGTCTTTGCAAGATTAAATCTTGTAGTTTGTCTTTCTGAATGTGTAAAAATATCCAAGGGAAACCTTTGCCCTGGTGGCAACTCAGTACAGTTTCCAGTCTATCTCAAGAAGAAATCTTGAATAAAAATAGAAAGATGTGGACACACAAGACCCTCTGAAAGATGTAAACAATCTGTCTTTAAGAAGGGACGTTTTTAAAATTAATCAGAAAGCAAGGATATCAGGAGCCCCATGGAGATGTTGGACATCATACTGAAAGTCATGAGGGTAGTTCAGGTGGGGCACCAGGTAAAGACCAGATGTGGGTGATGCTGTTCCCAAAAGGGAGACAGAATAAATGATTTATAACAGATTGTAAACCAGGGCTGTGCTCTGCCTGGCTATGGAGTGGCTTATTGCTTAACGCCAGTTATGGGGTCCCCATCCAGAACATCTGCAAACAGATTCCCCAGCAGTGATGTATCCACCCAGTTCCAGCCCTTCTGCCCAGTGTCCCACCCCACTGCAGTGGCACACCAGCGAGGTCCCCAGTGAAGTGTTGTCTCCAAGGGGAAGATGGTAGTCCAGGGGCTATCTTTCCAAGTCAGCTGGCCCAGATATGAAAGAAAAGCAGTGGTGGCACCTACCAACCCAGCAACTGCCCCCTTGAAATCTGCTGGCAGGGAGAAGAGAGGTTGGTAGGGCTGCAGAAACAGCCTGAACTCCACAAATGGATACCTTCAGGTGCCTGTGCAGGGAAGATTTTCAGGCTGAGCTTCTGGGTAGCAGAGTTCAGTGTCAGAGGTGTGCAATGTGTGTCCATGCATGGCCTGGGGGAGCCAGGAAAATCTTCCTGCTCTGTGCCTGTCTGCCTGATGGAGGGAAGGTGTTGCAGCACGCTCAAACCCCAGTGCCATGAGGCTGGAGACTGCTGTCCTGATGCCTGGGTTTGCAAGGGATGCTCAGACTCACACCATGTTTCCCTGCACAGGTAAAGGGCTCATATACCACGTAGAGAGTCTGGACTCCCAGACTGTATTCACCTCAGAATATCTGGCTGGGGCTCTGGTGTCACCTGAGCAGCCTGATGGCACAGGATCAGAGGAAACCTAGGATTTGACCACCCCATTGGAGGTTCGGAGACCTTCAACATCTCTGGCAGGGCCACCACCTCTGCTTTAAATTACAGATGGAAAAAGTCAAACAGGGAGGGGAAGGAGAATTAAAAAAAAAAGGAAGGGATCAGCCCTGTGCCGGAGACGGGAGGAGGAGGAGGAGGAGGAGGGATGGGAGGGGGTGGCTGGTCCCTGCCAGCCGCTTGGGCAATATCGGCGGGGATCACGTGCGGAGATTTGCTTTCGGCATAGCCCGCATGCTTGTGCGGGACGGGGAGGGGGTGTGAAAGCAGCTCCCACTTCCAGGAATCCTCCCGGCACAGGATACGCGGCGGGGAGCTGGTAAACATGATACAACCGCTGGCCTGTAACTCAATCGGCTCCCTGCATTAGCTGCTCCCCACCCGGGGACCTCGCCAGCCTGGTGGCTTCTCGGGGTGGCAAGTGCACGGGACAGCGTGTCCCGGGGCATGCGGCGTCACCAGCGGGGGGGCGGGAGTGATGGGAACGGTGGGGGGAGCTTGCACTTTAGAGTCTGAAGACAGGGAATCTTCTTCAGCCCAGGGTGAGAGGATATTCCTCGGGAGCAGCCTGGGTCCAGCTGCTGCTCGCAAACCCTCTCAGTCAGAAATAGCCGCTTGGCTGAGGAACAGCCCTCTCCCCCACGTTCCCCTTCCCCACCTCTCCGTCCCAGCGGCGGCAGGAGCTGTGCATAACATCCCGCACCCATTGAGAGATAACACCCCCTCCCCTGCTCTGCCATTGAGAGATAACACCCCCTCCCCTGCTCTGGCTGCCAGCACGCCTCGAGCAGCTCCTAATCTGCCTACTCGCAAAAATACATCTCGCTTGGGCTTTTTGCCCCCCCCCCTCCCCTGCCTCTCGGGAGAACTTGTTTATTGCTGGGTGCAGGGAAACCGTGACCTCTGCTGCCTGCCGTCCCCTTTGGCTCCCTGTCCCCGGGAGCGGCAGGGGGCCGGCTGGGGACATGCGAGGGGACACCCGAAGGCAGGGCAGGGCGCCTGGATATCCGGATACGAGAGGAGAGGGGTGGGAAGGGGGTTTTGCAATAACAGCACGTCATATGAATTAGACCAGTGTTGGTCTTTGGATAGTTTCTGTTAACAACATCCACGTGGTAACTGAGTATGGATGATCCCAAGTGGGAGAGCTGGGGAGACGTGGGGAGGTAGGAATGGGGCTGAAATGAGTTAATGTGGACCATAAAGTCATGCAGGTGAAGGTGGGAAAGAAAAGCTCCTGCTGGTGCTTTGGGGCTTGTCTGGAGTGGCAGAGGAGGGGATGGCTGAGGACAAGGACACCATGAGGGTGGGATGCTCTCAGTGGGTTGGGACATGCTCCCCATGGCACAGGGGACTGCTGTGCCCCCTGCACCCAGCCTGGCCTGCCTGCAGGAGGCAGCTTTGGATGAGAGGGGCAACAGGGTGCTCAGAGGGATGGGAGAACCCAGGGGAGATAGGACAAGCTTGGCTGGTCTGACTTAGCAAAGCAGGGAGCATGAGGGACACACAGAACCTTCCTGCTCCTAACCCCATGCCCAGGTCTCCAGCAAATTGGCCAAGACTAGGGAAGAACAGGATCTGGTTCTCTTTTTTTTAGCCCTCAGCTTAATTTCTTTCAGCCAGGGAGGCAGGGCCTGGCCGAGCAGCCCTCTGCGGGAAACAGGGTGGGTTTTGTACCGCCCACTGGTTTATTTGTATTTTTAGAGCGCGCCACAGGCACTGGGTCACTGAAGTGAGTGAAATTCCACCCTGGAGCCTGAAGCAACTCCTCATCCCCATCCCTCTCCTTGGGGATGGACTGGAGTCAACAGCTGAGCTGGGGCTCAAGTGTCCTGGTCACTGCAGTGCCCAGCTGAGGCGAGGGGCAGCTGGGTGGGTGGGTGGGTGCCAGGGCTCTGAGTGGCAGAGCTGGGGACCAGCAAGGCAGCGGGTAGAGGAAAGCCCTCCTGCTGTTATCACTCCTAGAAAAGCCCTATGGGAGTGAGGGTCTGGCTGTTCCAAGCTGGAGACCCTGTTCTGGGGTGGCAGAGGATGCCCAAAGGCTCTCAGTGCAAGTGATCACAGTGGGGGATTTGTTTGGTGGGATGATGGGCACCCTGCACCGAGGGAACTGGGGGTGGTTGGGATGCTGAGATGAGACTGGACAAACTGGAGAGTGGTGGGGAGCTCCAGTATGTCTAGGAGAAGGTCACCAGTGCTGTGCTTGCTCAGTGATGAGTTGGCAACAAGGTGAGTCAAAAGCTGAGGAGGGGGGAAAAACCCAGCAAAGGGGAACGTGTGGGGCTTAATATGGCACAGGACATCTCCTTGAGAACACAGCTCGGGTCACTTCATCATCTACAGCAGCGAGTGATGCAAGGGAAGCATCTCGCCAGGGCTTGGGCTCAACAGGGAGTGAGTCAAGTGGGTGGGAATCTCATCCCTTGAATCACTGCTGACGGCACTGGCAGCTCCCCCCACCAGCTTTCCCTTGTGAGGGGTGATGGAGTCACAGTCCCCTGGGGGGACTTCAGGGGAAAACCATCACTTTCTAATTTAAATCTGAAATGAAGAGGGAAACTGTCTCCTGGGATGCTGATCCAACCAGAAAGTGTAACAAGAGGTGCTCCCAGGAAGAGCAGCAGGTATCAGATCCCAGCTGTAAGGCAAGCGATTTGCCTGGCAATGAGGACAAGCACGGTGAGCTGAGAGTTGAGTTGTTGTTTGAGAGCTGCACCTCACAAGGTGTGAAATATCTTCATCAACCTTTTCTGATGATCTTTCAGGAGATGATTTTCCCTGCTTGAGCTACCCCAAATACTTGGCATCACCAGGTTCAGGTGGCCCAAGCACCCAGTGATGATCACACATGCAGGGAGCCTGTTGCTTTCATCCAGAGATACACTCACTGATAGGATTTAGCAGGACCGACACTCAGACCACAGCTTGAACCTCAAAAGTTGTGACAGAATCCCTGCAGGAGGGAGCTGAAGAAGAGGATGCAAAGCACTGTTGTTGTTGCTGGAAACAGGCAGGCTTGGGAACTGGGATCTCTTTTCTGGGCCATCCTTTCCTGGTGTGGTGCACAGGATGATGTGATGGGGAGAGGACGGCCTCGTGGGCATGCTGAATCCTTTCTGCCTGTCCATGCTGAGAGCAAGGGCTCCCCTGTGCCTGCACCTCTCCTCCAACACACAAGAGTTTTGGGGTGATTCTTCCCCTCCAATACACAACCCAGAGCCTGCACTTCCTGGTGTCTACTGCCAGTCCATGGCTCTGCTCCGGGGACATCCCCTCTGATGTTTTTTTTCCCCAGGCCTTTTTCTCAGAGATCCACCCCTTTTTTTTCCAAAACAGGCTGTTTCCCCTAATAGCAAGTGCCCAGCAGCCGGCAGCTGACGGCTCAGTTGCTTTGCCTTATGCATAAAACTTTCCACTTGTGCCTTTCATCTTCCCAGTGGAGGAAGCGCCTGCTCTCCCCGGCCTCTTGCCTGCAGAAGCGTGCGGGAAACGTCTGCCCTCCTGTGTTCAAAGTCCCCTCCAAAGAGAAGCCAAGGGTGCACTGACCTCATGGAGTAAATATTTTCCATGACATCTCCTTCGGACATCTCCTCTCGAGCTCTGTACCTATAGCTGAGCCGGCTACAGGTTTGCAGCCAGCTCTGCTGGGGCAGGGCTAAATTCTGCCCTCTCCTTGTTTCCTTACATGTCCCCATACAATGTCACCACCTGAAGGTTTCAGTGACCTCCCTGGACCCCCCTCCAGGGACTGCGCTGGCCAACGAGGTGTCCCACGGACCAGTGCTGCTCCCTGGGGACACTGGATCCTGCCGTCTTGCTGTGATGGTTTCTCCAACACTTCCCCTCTCCCGCTCACAGCTCTAACACGCCTGTGGTCATGAACTGCTGCCAAGCCAGCTGGGAACTGGAGCCAGCAGCCTTGGAGCAGGCGCGAAGCATCCGTGGGCCTGAGGTGGGATGCAGGGAGGTTGTTCTGAAGTTAGGAACAACTTGTCACCAGGCAGAGAGGAGAGACACTTATTGACTCCGTATCCTTGCTGCTCACCCAGCTGAATGAGAAGGGGAGCACAATCCAGCAGGTGTTTTCAACATCCAGCCTCTCACTGTTTGTGCTGTACAGAGTTCTCCCTCCTGACAGTGTTCTTCTCAAGGAGACAGTCACATCTGGCACCGATCCCCGGCGGGTCTTGGCAGCTGGATTCGCAGCACAGGTGATGCAGAGCCCAGGGCTCCTCATGGTCAAGGTCTGTTTTACTTGCAACCACAAAAAATCAGTGTCTTTCCCCCACCATTGGCTTGCTAAGACAAGATGCTGTGGTCATTCTCTGTCATTCTCCTGCTGGGGCTTTTCAAACCGTGTGCTAAGTCCCAGCTCCAGTGCAGTCTCCTGAGGGGGACTGGGGCATTTCATGGATTGGATTCCTTAGGACTAGATCCCTCTCACCGCCCCTCTTGTGGAACAGAGAGAGAAAACACAATATGCTGTCAGGAAATAATGCCAAGCATATGCCACACAGCAGGAGGTGTCAAAAGATGCTCCCTTCAACCTCACAGGCAGCTGTGTGCCTTCTGCATTAGCCATGCAGAGAAAATTACTCAAGCAATTTGATGTGGGTATTTCATAGCCCTTTATTTCCGGGGGCAGGTTTCACCTACAGCAAAGGTGCCTCTGCAAGTGAGGCAAGGAGAACAGCTATGCCTGTTCTCTGGTAGCTCCTCCCCATTTTGTATAAGAGATACCAGTGTTTCCCAGTAAGAAGTGCCATTCTTACCTACAGGGTTGCTAGTGCTAGATTTAAAATGAATATTAAATATCTATTAACCTGGGTGGGTTTAGGGCTTTTTTTTTTTTTTCTTTTTTTGCCAGATTTTTTTGTTTTAAACAGCTCTCTTTTTGGCAGACAGGGAAGTGTCTTACACTTTCTCCACAGCTTGCCTGGTGGTAGCTTCACAGGAATGCTGAAGGATACAGTGGAGTGCTTGGCTGGACCTGGGCTGGACCAGCCTGTGATTCCATATATTATCCTGCACCTGCTGCAGAGCAAGTCATGGACCTCCTCCCTTCATCCCATGCTCCTGAAGAAATGTGTGTGTCCACTGAGGTTCCCAGCACTCCCCTGTAGCTGTGAGCCACAAAAGCTTTGAATGTGCAGGACGCTGTCAATGAGCTGTAAAAGGGGGTGAGCTCTGAAGATGCACGTGTCAATGGCACATTTCTGCACCTATTTTTGTCTGCTCCTTGGAGAAGACATGTATCTTTCCTCTTCAACAAGTGCTGTGCTCCTCTGCGCAAAACCCAGGGTGGATATCTGTTCCTGGGAGGATGCAAAGGCACATCCCACCTGAAGGTGACAGCTCAGTGTTGGGGAAATGATTCTCTGCTGGAAGTGCCTGCCTGTTGGACACAGCAGAATTTTCAAGGGGGTGGGTGTTGCATCATATATTGGAGGTTGACTTTTAGCTGGATGTATAAATCTTGGCCTTCCCAAGGCCCGGGTCTTCCCTGGGACCGCTGCTCTGTCTCTTTGCATTTCTGGGGAGAGGAAACTGCAGCTCACCTCTCCGCAAGCACAAATTAGTTGGGTTTTGTTGCTTTGTGGGTTAGTGGTTTTTTTTTTACTTTTTTGGGGTTTTGCATGTTCAGTTTGAACAATAAAACATCTGTTCCTGAGCCCGGCAGCTGGACCAAAATGAAATGACGTTAGCATCAATTATCCTCCGGGATGGGGAGGCTGGCGGGAGAATGGTGCAGATTTCCTTAGCGCTGAATAGCAGATGAGAACAACAGCTTGGCTCAGTGGCTCGTGTTCCCATGTTCCCAGAGAGCCTCCAAACAACCCACCTGCTCGAGCCCTCATGTTGGTGCCACTGCTCTGGGTACCACAGTGCGCTGTGGGGTGAGCAGGGGAGATGCTTTTGCAACAATTGGGGAATAAACCCCATTTTTCGTGGAAGGGCTTATGGATACTGAGGTGGCAAAGATTTTTCCGAACGCACCAAGCATCAAAGTGATTTTTTTTTCAGTGTGCACCCTCCTCCTGCAGGGCCAGCACGAAGAGGCCCCAGTGGAGACATCGCCTATGGTGGTGGGTGCAGGCATCCAGCCTGGAGCAGAGCTGGGGTTCACAGAGGGATGGGATGATGCAGAATCACGTTCCCTGCGTACAGAAAGGGGCTATTAACAGGGAGAAAGGGGGGAGCGATGGAGCACAATGGCTGTGATTTGTTGGCAGTCGCCGACCTACAGTCCCTGGCAGCACCTCAAAGCAGCTGTGAAGTGCCAGTCGGTGGCGATGCTTCGGCGCGTGATGTGGGGCGCCTGACCCTGGCGTAAGGCTGGGACACGGGCTGGGACACGGGCTGGGACACGGGCTGCCCGCTGGGGAGGGCACTGACCCGGCTTCTCCTCCCTGGATGAATCCCAAGCGTGTTTGTGACAGGCCGAGTGCTCCAGGGACATGGTGGCTTGGGTCCCATCCTGTCCCATCCTGAACACGCTCACTAAAGGCAGGTTATTTCCCTGCATCCCAGTAGCACAGAGAAAACTGTGACTGTGGGAAAACTGAAGAAAATTATCAGGCAGAAGCATTTTTATGAGCGAACTGCTTTGTACCTGCGCAGCCAGATGCCTGAATAACTTAATGCAGGCTTCAGGAAATAATTTCAGCTGCTGCAATTTTAAATCCTCTAAAATAGCTTTCCTGTTCCCTGGAGAGCTGTGAATTTTTTAGGTCTGACAACTTCCAGCACCCTGCAGGTGAGGCACAGCTGCTCAGTGGGGCAGGACCGGGGGAAAGTGGGGCTTATGGGGCTCACGTGATGCTCGTCATCATTTTTTGGAAGGGAAGTGAGCGTTTGGGGTGAGCAGCAGGAGAGAAAGAGCTCATTTGGGAATAACAGCTTGCTCCAAAAATCCAACAGAATCAAGCACCCATTTTGTTTGGCTTCTTTCTTGAATGTCATGGGTGATGGTGATGGACTGTGTGTCAGTGTCCTGACTCTGTCCCGGTACATCGGCACTCCTGGGTACACTCCAGCATTGCTGATCATGTGGGAGCATCACCCACATATCACAGAATGATTTGGGTTGAAAGGGACCTTAGAGATCATCTCATTCCCATCCCCTGCCCTGGGGAAGGGACACCTTCCACTAGACCAGGTTGCTCCAAGCCCTGTCCAGCCTGGCCTGGGACACTTCCAGGGATCCAGGAGCAGCCACAGCTTCTCTGGGCAACCTGTGCCAGGGCCTCCCCACCCTCACAGGGAAGAATTTCTTCCTAATATCTAATCTAAGCCTGCCCTCTGTCAGGTTGAAGCCATCACCTCTTGTCCACACCACCCAGCAAAGACACTGCTGATATAAACCTCGTGCTTTCTTGCCTGAGCCATTTGACTCTAATCCCTTATTGCCTTTGGCCTCTAGCCTTGGTTGTATCAGCACTGGGCCAGAACTATTCCAGGTGTCATGTCTGATGTGCATCACCTCTCTGCTCCCAGACTGGGCTCTGCAGGCACTCCTGCCCTGGCCTCTCCTACCAGAAATGGAGTCCAGCTGGGAAAATCCCCAAAACTTGACTCAGAAGAGACTTGGCAGAATTAGAACCAAAAGTAAAGGAAGCTTTGGTTTATAAAAAAAAAATGAAAAAAGATCACTTTGTCCCAAAGCAACTGAACTCAGCACAGTATGTCTATTTTTCATTACTTTTTGTACTGTACTCCAGCCTGTTTTCCCAAGCTTTACAAAAGCAAGTGGGTTCTCGTTCTGTTTTCCTGTCCCATCCTTCAGTAACATGCTGAACTGGCTGGTAGGTCTGGCAAAGGCATTAATTCCTCCCAACATTCAGGTCTTTCTGGCTGTACAAAAATAGGTGCCAGTGCTGGAGGTTGAGTTGATCTCTAGCAGTGAGGAAAAGGCTTTTTGGGTCCTTGGTTTCCCAGAAATTCCCTTCTGGCAGGAATTAATCAGCTGCACATTGGGCAGCCAGGGAGGTGCACATGGCAGCATGGATGGGAAAGGGATGAGGATGGTTAAATCCACTGGCAACTGATTTAACAAGAAAAGCTTTCTTCTCCCCCCAGGGCTGGATTAGGGAAGAGTTTGTCAACCAGACACAAAACCAGGTAATCCCTTTGCGTTGGGGTGAGGTGGGCTGTGCTGAGAGCATGTGGGATGGGGCTGCCTTGACTCCAGGCACCTCTTTCCCCCCCAGCCTGGCAGCAGAAACAGTTTGGGAAGATCCTCTTGTGCATCAGGATGCAGATGTATGGAGCCAAAATAAAGGCTGAGGTCCTTGCACCTTGCCTGATCCACCTGAGGTCTCTCCCTTTCTTCTTTTCCTCCAGTTTGCAGTGGCCTGCTTCTCCCAGCCTTCTTGGTAATCCTAAGGAATAGGAGGCAGATGCATAAATGCCTCCTGAGGAGCTGCATTTTAATCCCTCCCTGCAGCACTGCTCTGGCTCCCTGTAAGCCATCACACCTCTGCAAGGACCGAGCCTCCCATGCATCACCCTTCACTACCCAGGGCAAAATGTGCCCTCAGGAGCACGAGGTGTTTGGAAACAGGGGTTTGTGACACCAGGCAAGCTGGGATATACATCAGCTGCCTATAGATCATCACCTGGAGAAAGCTTTGGAGGGCTGAATGGGAGAGAAAATGTTGAACAAGGCTCAGGAGGATTACAAGCTGTGTGCAATGCAGGTGAATGCCAAGGAAAAAGGAGGTGGGATAGGGGAAGAAGGGAGGAAAGCAAGGCAGGGGCAGCATTCTGTGCACCACACAACATCTGAGACATGGGTGGGATGCCCTGTGTGGGCAGTGACCAGGCAAGGGATGCACAGCTCTGTCTTGTCCCAGAGGCTCTGTGGGACAGCTCTGGAGCTCTTCCTGCTGCCAGGGTAGGGCATAGCTTCAGGCTGGGGCTAAAACTGTTGTAATCACATCTGCATCCCATCTCGGTGGGCTCTCATTCAGCCCTGCTCACCCAGAGGCTGCTTCCACCTCCAACCCAGGGCCAGAATCACTGCCTGGGGTAGCTCGGGATGAAGGAATGGGGGGGCTCTTTGCTTCTGGGGCAGGGAACTTTCCTCCCCCCAGACCCTCCACTCCTTCATTTCAACACACTCACCCACCTCTGGCTTGTTTGCACAGCTCAAAATGTTCCGAGCATTATCAGTGTTTGCACTTTTGCCACTGTTTGTGCTGGTTGCATTTTAAAGGCAATAAAGTCAAGCTTTGTTTGCGTACAAGGAAACTGTATTTTTTCTCCTCAATGCGCCAGAGCTCGCCCTAAAACATGACACCAACCACCCCTGTAAGCCCTGGGCCTGCTTGTACTCCCAGGGGATGATGCTCCTGGGGGAAAAGGGCCTCGATGTGTGCAAACACACGGAGCTCGCACTGTGCATCACCCCATGGCTCTGCCGGCCGAGTTTGAGCCTCACGGGGTGGAGGGCAGCCAAAGCCAACATCCCCCCCTTTCACCTTTGGATGAAGCTGGTGCCAAGGTATCCTGGATCACACAGACCCAGCAGGCCCTTTTCCAAGTGAACTGGCATAAAGCCACTTCACCCCCACCGAGTCCTGGGGCTTACGGGAGCAGCACAGGAGCTGGGTGCTGCTGATGACACGGGGTCCCACCGGTGCAGGGAGGTGACCTCTTGTATGCCCAGCCACCCACAGCTGTCCCCACACGCTGACACCACCTCCCATGTGCCGTCAGCGACACGCTGTCCCCATCCAGAGGTTAAACATTAACAGGGTGGGGCCAGCACAAGGCCAGGGGAGTCTCTGGAGTGGCTTGGGGAAGGGTGTTATTTCTAGAGAAAGCAGTGCTAATAAAGTGCCCTCCACTGTGCTGCCCAGTGACCCTCTCTCCCATCTGGCTGCTCCTCCATCACTGCTCACAGAAAGCCTTCCTCCATCATCCTTCTCTGTTCCCTGTCTGCTTTCTCCACATCCTGGAGTCTGAGCTGCCCAGCACATCACTCCACAGGCAGGATATCACACACCCTGCCTGAGGCTGACCTGGCTGGAGATGCTGCTGGGGTGCTTGCTCACCCTCTCGGGGCGATGCCAACTCCACCACTGCCCCACCGAGCCCTTGGCACTGCTCCAGCACCCTCGTGATGGGGCAGAGCCCGTGGCAAACCCTGTTCTCCACACCTTGGTGGCCTGAGGGTGACCACAGCTGCGTGTTTTTCCTGGAAGGGCAACAACGCTCCTTGCAACCGATCCCTCGATCAAGGCAAGGCATTTTCCCCGCCCCCGGGGCACATGTCACCTCTCGAAAGAGCAGCCGCGATGGCTCAGCACCAGAAACATGCTGTAAACAAGGTGCCTGCCGGCCCCTGGCTCTGCAGGGACACCTGGGGCTGCGAGGGGCCAGGAAAGGCACAAACCTCCCAGCTGTAAGTGGGGTTTAAGCTGGTAAAAAAAAAAAAAAAGAAGAAGAAGGTATGTGGAAAAGGCAAAGCTGTCTCTGGGCTGGAAATAATGGCTTGCTACAACCCAAAATGTGGGCTCTGGGCTGTGTGGCAGCTAACCCTGCCCTCTCCTGGATGCCACCTCGCTGACAGTCAGCCCCCTTTGGAAAATATCTTGGATTTTTAAAAGCTCCCTCTGGCAAAACAGCCTTAGCTGTTTGAGGGGTGCAGCTCACATGGGTCTGCTGG